AAAAATTCTAAGATGAAAATTTTCAAATTAAAACCCTAATTTTCAAATTTAGTTTTCTTGGTCAACAAGTTTCACATTTTGACATATCTTGATGAATTATGACCCTTGGCACTTGATTTTGACCAAAAAGTCAAAGTTTGACTTTTCAGTGTACAATTGACTTTTGATCAGTTGACTACAAATTTCATCTGTCAATCCAATGAACTTGAGATGTTTTGAACCATGTAATTAAGTCAAGATGATGCCATTGAATCCTTGAAATCATGCTTGAACTCAATTGGTCAATTGCTAGGTTAAAAATCAGAAATTGCCCTTCCTCAGTCAAAACCCTAATTTTGACCATTTTGCCCTTTTGATGATTTGATCAAATTTCTTGAGGAATTGTAATCCAAACTTGATCAAATGGCAAATATGAGTCTAAAATGTTGACGTGGATAAAAAATTATGGATTTTGACTGTAAATTGGTCATGGTTGACTTTTTCCCCAATACAGTTGATTTTTTAGGTCAACTGTCCAATTGACTTATCAAAAATGTGGTTCAAGGCTTGAAACTTATCATGAACAATCTTAGGGGTCCAAAATGATGTATGAAAGTCAAATGAAGCATTGGTGATCCAAAAATCCTTGTGCAAACTCAAACCCTAATTTTGGCTTATCAGTGCAAGGTGAGATGTCTTGAGCTGGCCAAACCCTAATCTTGTCTTGAGTCAAAGAAGTCTTGTAAGGAAAGTCCTGATAAATGAGAGGGAAAATTTTGGGGTACAACACTGAGCATATACACCATAGAGCGCTAGGTTCCTGTTTGAGGCCATAGAGCGCTTTGTGCAACTTATATAATTTACTCGCTTCCTTCTGAATCATAAACCGAAGAGGTTGTGTTACATAGACTTCTTCGTCTAAAAGACCATTCAGAAATGTAATTTCACATCTAACTGAAATGTCGACCAGCCTTGGTTGCATGCCAATGCTAAACAACTTCCAATATTGCTACAGTAGAAAATACTTCAGAGTAGTCAAGTCCTACTCTTTTAAGAAAACCTTGAGCTACTAATATTACTTTATGTCTTACTATCGACTCATCAACATTGTGTTCCAACTTGAACACCCACTTTATGTCGATAGCTTTTGTATGTGCTGGAAATTCAACTAACTTCCATGTGTTATTTCTTTTGATTTCCTATAACTATTCAACCATAGCTAACTGCCACTATTGAATCTTTAAAGCTTCGTCATGGTTGATTGGTTCAACACCTGATTGGTTCAACACCTACAAGTAAAGCAAAATGAACTAATTACCCATCTAGTGTAACTTCATCATCACCCAGCACTTCAAAATCATGAAGTCTTGTTGGAAGAACACTATTTCTTTGAGGTCTTTGGCTTGTTTCAGGAACACCCTCTTTGAATTCGATATTGTCATGAATGTCAGCAGCTGCTTCAACTTTGACTGAAAGATTAGCAATTTCTTCAGCTTCGACTTTATTAATTTCCTCATCGAAACCATAGCTCATCAATGGCTTGTTAATTTCATCATCAGAATTCCAATCCCAGGAAGAATTTTCATCAATCACAATGTCTCGACCCGACACAATCTTCTCATTAACTGAATTGAATAGCCTGTATGCACCAGTTTTATGATATCCTACCAAAATCCTAAGTTCACTCTTGTCATCAAGCTTCCTTCTTCTCACATCAGGAACATGCTTGTAACGCATAGAGCCAAACACCTTAAAATGACTTACTTATGGTCATTTACCACTCCATACTTCTTCGGGAACCTTGTTCTTCAATATCTTTCTAGGGCACTTGTTCAAAATATAAACTGCAGTCGAAACAACTTTACCCCATAAAGATTTTGGCAAATTCTTCTGCTTTAGCATACATCTAGCCATATCCAATATGGTCTTGTTTATTCTTTCAGCAACTCCATTATGTTTAGGAGTATAAGAAGAAGTTACCTCATGATCAACACCATGTTCTGCATATAATTTTTCAAACATCTTTGAAGTGTATTCGCCACCTCCATCTATTCGCAGAACTTTAATCCTCTTCTAACTCTGATTTTCGACAAGCATCTTGAATCTTTAAAAAATTTCAAATACTTCGTCCTTTCTCTTGATCACATAGATATATAGCTTTCGACTAAACTATCGACAAACGGAATAAAATATTTGTTTCCACCAATAGTATGTTCTTCGAATGGACCATATATATCTGAATGTACCACTTCGATTATGCATAATAATCTCATTGGTATAGTCGAAAAAAAGAATTTATGGATTTCTTTCCGACTAAACAACCTTCACAAAGTTTGTTAGGCATCTCAAGACTTGGAATACCAGTAACTATATCTTGAGTAGTCAGCTGATTGAGTGACCGAAAGTTCAAATGTACAAACCTCAAATGCCACAACCAACTATCCTTGTGGTCGACAACAATTTTTAAACATTGTACTTCTGTCAAACTGATCATAGCCTTAAACACCCCGTTCTTCGACAACAGAGATTTTAAGACCAAATTGTTCTAAGTTTCGAACAATTTCAAAGCTCCATCTTTCATAACAACTAAGAAGCCTTTTTAGACCAGTTCTCCAACACTTAGCAGGTTGCACTTTATTCTAGGTACATAGAGTACATATTTGATCATAGCTTTTCCTCTATTACTTATTTGAAAGATTATGTTTACATTACCGTCTTCTTGTAACGAACTATTATCAACAAGTTTTACCTTACTCTTCTTCGACTCGTCAAATTCTACTAACCACTCCTTTTGACCAGTCATGTGATTCGAGCAGCCTGAGTCGAGGAACTATATCTTGGACTCAACATAGTTATCTATAATTGCAGCCAATAACCATGATACCACCTTCACAATCATCTGAATCTTGGCGTGCGAAGTTCGCTCCTTCGTCCTTGCCTGTCGATCCTTTGTCTTTCCTGTACCAATAATTTTTGGCTACATGACCCCAATTTTTCACAGTTATAGCACTGAACACCTTTTTTTATCTTCTTTATCCTTTTGATAGTTTCCTCCTCCTCTTTTTGAGGATTCAGAATCTCTATCTTTGACCTTATTCTTGTGGGGATTCGACCAAGACTTCTTGTCCCGAGTCTTATCGAACTTGCCTTTGAATTTGTTGGAAACATCATCCTTTTTCCATGACTGAGCTTGTAGTGCTTGTATCAAATCCTAAACTCCTTTCCTTTCGACAAGCCTCATCTCATGCGCCTCCAATGAACCAACTAAGTATTCCATTTTTAGGGTTTCAAGATTGTTGGATTCTTGAATAGCTACGATAGTGTGATCAAAGTGAGAGGTAACCATACTCATTACCTTCTCAACTATCATCTTATCATTTATGATTTCACCATAACCCTTCATGAGATAGACGAGTTTTTGAATCTTCGACACATATTCTGTAATTTTTTCATCGTCTCCCATCAACAACAAGTCATATTGTCGATGCAAAGTTTGTAACTTAACAACCTTGACTTTCTCACCTCCTTTGTAATACTTCACTAGAATATTTCATGCCTCTTTCACTATTTCAGCATGAGAAATTTTGTCGACGTTAGCAGCGTCGAGCACCGTCTGAATGCAATACGCAACATTGCAATCTTTCTTCTTGACTTTGTTGTGGGCTTTTTTCTGTTCATCGGTTGCATCTGCAGCTGATGCATGAACATCGTCGGTAACCACTTTTAGGGTTTCATGGAAGCCAAACAAGGATTGCATATGTTTTTTTCCCGTCAGATCCAATTTTTTCTGTCAAGCATTGGAAGAGAATTTGGAATTCCCTTATCACTAACCATCTTTGCAGCAGTTGATTCATTTGTCCTAGAAACACGATCTCTAATGTGAAGTTCTTGAAAAATCGATCAAGAACAATAATCGAAAGCTCTGAATATCAATTTGTTAGTGCGTGAGACACTTTTACTGAGGAGAGAAAGAAAGAATAATAAAGGAAATAAGGATTATATTATTCACTTGCTACAAATTATGATACATACTATGACTATTTATATACAATCTTAATTGGGCTTGGGCTAGCATAACTTGAATAATATTTAAATATTAAATCAAATCAAATCAAATCTAATATTTCAACAGTGGAAGAAGCTGTGGACCAGAGAATTCTGTCATGGAAGTTATGCTTACAAACTTCAAGTCTAAGTTTGTATTCATCTTTTGAAAAGGTGATTCTAAGTCAGTCTCTGTTTATACAAGATACTGGGAGTTAACTTTGAGGTATGTTGCAGACATTTATCATAACATTAGAAAATATTTTGGTTGACACTATTTATTTTTTCTCCTCACTTTGCTTCTTATTGTCATTTGTGTTGTTAGATATTACATGAGTCGTTAGAGTGTAGATTCTACAACTACTAGGGAATCTACCATTTGACACTAATAAGAAGACTAAGAAAACGATACAAAGAAGATAAAATTTAGATCTGAATTTTCTTACTTCATTCAAGCTACCGCATACAATATAAATACTGGGTTTAGAGATACTAGCATATGGATCTAAGCCACTTACAATTAAATAGACCTAAGCCACTTCGAGAAAAAAAGATAAAATAACTCTACTTACTATCATAATAATTCATCCAATAAGGTTTGCTTATTTTCCTTGTCAGCTTTCTATCACTACATTCAGGCCCAAAATAGACCTTGTCCACAAGGTCAGGAGCTAAAGAAGGCCCATGCGACAAAAATTGGTACAACAAAATAGTAGGAAGGGAATTAATGTCATTAATTGAAGAAGTTGGGAAAACCGTGGGTGGTAAAGGAACGTTGGATGCTAGTTTTGAAATGAGAGGTGGTAGACAGCTGGTTGTAGACGTGGCAGGATGTGAAGCGTTGGGATTAGTTGGGACATACAAAGGCTGAACACGCGTGTGGGTGGAAGTTAAAGTGCCATTAAGTGTTACTGGCCGTGCAGAAAAGTCACAATCATAAAGAGGGTCAAGTGTACTTCTTTTCACTTCATTTGCATCTACTCATCTTTCTGAGATACAAGTGGTGAGTTCCTCTGCCGAGAAATCCTCGGAATTATGCATGCAAAAACATCATAGCCTTCATCCGCCATGTCAACCACCACTGTAGGCGTGACAGAAACAACTCTCTTACCTTTATCAAACCTTTTGATGGTAGTCTCTTTGACTAAGGTATCTTGTTGGTTTGTGTCTTCTAAGTTGTTTTGTTGTTGAGTACTAGTAACATGAAGTGGTTCTTGATTTTCAGGTAGTAAACCGCGAGGTAAAAGAGAAAAATTCATGGGTGGATCTGAACCGTGATAGATGCGAAGCTGGGACACATGAATAATAGGGTGGATTTTTGAAGAGGGAGGAAGATCTAATTTGTAGGACACATATCCGATGCAGCGCAGGTCGACCATAAAGAGCCTCGAAAGATGGCATGACGATAGCAGAATGAAACAAGGAGTTATACCAAAACTCAACAAGAAGAAGGAATTTAAACTACTCCCGCGTATGGTCAGCAGTGAAACAACGAAGGTATGTCTCTAAACTTCTTTTACTACTTCAGTCTGTCCGTCCATTTCGGGATGATAAGTTGTGTTATGTTTCAGGGTTGTACCTTGCAAGAGAAATAATTCCTTCCAAAAAGTGATTACAAACAGTGGGTTACGATCATAAACGATAGATTTTAAGAGTCCGTGAAGATGACAGATCTCTGAGGAGAAACGAGTGGCTAGATCTGGTGCTGTAAACTTTTGGGGTAAAGCAATGAAATAAACATATTTTGTTAAGCAGTCACAGATGACCCAGATCAGTGTTTGGCCAAATGGAGTTGGTAAATGTGTGATGAAGTCCGTGTGTGGCCAAATGGAGATGGTAAATGTGTGATGAAGTCCATTGTGAGTGCTTCCCACACCTGACTAGGAATTTCTAAAGGTTAGAGTAACCCTTGTGTTTTTTTGGCAGGTATTTGTTCTTCTGGAAAATAGAACAAGACTGAACAAAAGCTTTCACATCCTGATACATTCTTGTCTAGTTGAAAGAAGCAACCAGTTATACAAGCATTTGTTGTAAGCCCGAATGACCTGTAATTAGTGTGGCATGGTGCTCATGAAGTATGGCTTGTTTAATGTCTAATGACTGTAATATGATGCAGATGTGTTCAGGTTCAAGCGTGAAGATCATAAAGTAATAGATCATGTATTCTAGGGTGATGAGACAAGGAGAAAATTATCATGTGCATTTATAACTCGATAGTAATGCATTTTGTTAGATTACGGTGGCAGAATCGACTGTTATATAATGATTTTGCGTTTCTGTTTGTAAATATTGTAGTAAACAAGAGCCGCTATCGATCTTTTTTTATATTTAAATTAAGTAAATTGTGAAAAGAATATAAAAAGATTTTTTCGAGATTTTTTGAGTAAAGGGGTAGATTATGAAAAGGAAAGGGGTTAGCATCTTTTCCATTTGTAGTTATCTACGAGCTCTTAGAGGTTTGTTTATTTTAAAATATCTTTGTTTTTGTGTGTTTGAAGAATGTTTGGAAATGCTTTAGCGCAGCGATTTGCTTTGCGTTTAACTCTTGTATTAGTTTTCAAAAGTGTTAACAAAGTAAATGTTTTGAAAATTGCTTTTGAAAAATAGTATTCTTGAAAGTGTAAAAATATTTTTGAGCAATCTTCTAACAACTATTTACTTTGTATTTGAAAAGGTAATTCTTTTTCTCCTATCCTTTAGACAACGCTGTCTTACTATTAATGAGTATGTAGCTATATCGTTGGATGTATGAGGGACATTCAAGAGACGTTACAGTCACGAATGTAACTTCTGGAGACGTTTTAGCAATTTTGTTTAGGAAATAGATCATTTATCGAAAGTCAACTGTAGGGTCATCGATGAATTATGATATTTTGATTTATGGGTCTTTGCCAAAGTGTTTTTGCTCCATGACTGTTTTATTTCTGAAGGCAATCAAAGTGGAGTACCCTAGAAGTGTATATGTTCAAGTGTGTTATGTTCAGTTATTTTTGTCTTTTTGTTAAGTTTGCTAACGTTTGATTTCAGTCTTATCATGCAATCTTAGTTACTAGCAGTTAATATATATTAAGAAATGTAAAGTACAGAAATGTAAAGTGCGAGATTGTAAATTCTACGCTATTACATGACTTTGTGAGAGGTACATTATAAAAATGCGAAAATAAAGTCTTAGTTACATTTACAAATTGGGAAGCAGTTACAATAAAACGAAATGTGAAAATAAATAAATGCGCAAACAAATTAAAATGGACATCTAAATCTTAAGAAAAAGAAATCTTTTTATTTTATTTTTATTTTAAAAAATATAACCTAAGTCTATTTAGTTTTTAATTTCAAGATAGAGGTTAAAATACTTAATTTATTTATTTATAAATTAATTTGATTAATAAAAACTATCCTAATATTTTTTGCGATTTTTGATTTAAAGTTAATTTAAATGATAAAGTAATGAAATAACAAAAAAAGAACAAAAATATAATAGGGGCATCCTTCGATTTTGGGAGAGTCATGGCCTTTCGATTCAGGGAAGAATGGTTTGTTTCGATGAAAGGAAATGCTTCCTTTCGATCTAGGAGAGGTTAGCTATCCTTCAATCCAATAAAAATAACCGCCCTTCGATCTATAGAAAGGTGCTACCCTTCGATCCAACGAGGGATATGGCTTTCGACCTAGAGGACATTGTCAAAACCGTCTAATGGATCATTTGTGAGGGTACTATATCTGCAAATATATGTTAGCAAAATGAAAAGCATGACCTGAGGCTAAGCCCAAGTCCTTCGATTCTATGCACATTGGCCTTATTTATGTTGGATCTGCAACAAGTGTTAGGGGCAAAACAAATGTAGACATGGGGTCGAACCCAGATCTTTTAGTCTTGAATAACAAATCGAATGAAACTATAAGTATTGGCGTGTCATGCAAAGGTAGATTTTGATCTTTTTACCAGTTCTTACCAATGGATGGATGAATCTTTGGTTTCAGGCGTGGGTACCTTTATTTAAGGGTTGCTTCGATTTGACACTTCTGGACGTGCGCTTGCTTAGGGGCTGGTGATGATTGAGAGAACTTCAGGAGAATTCCAAAAATGTATTTGCAATTTCGTGTGACTCCCTCTCCGGTTGTTTCCAGCCTCCTTTGGAGTTTGCTAGTGTCTTCTTTATATAGAGGGGATGGAGAGGACAAGAGAACAAAGGTTTAAACAACCATAAACAAGTATTTTCAAAGTCATGAATGATGTTTTGTAACGTTGAAAAAGTCATGGAATCTTATCCCTTTTTGAATTTGAATGAATCTGGACATGCTTTGGCTCCTTTGAATACCCTCTAATGTTGCTCTTCGACTGGCCTCAAGTCGCCTCTTTCGAATGGACCTCTTGTGTAGCCTTCGAATGGGCCTTTTGCATGCTTCTTCAAATGTACTTCTTGTGTATCCTTCGACTAGATCTAGTATTGCTTCCTTCGAATGAGTCTTTAGATGGTCCTTTTGGTGTACCCTTCGAATGAGTCTTTGGTGTGTCCTTCGCATGGGCTATCATGCGTGTTGAAGTGTGTACAATTGTTTTAAAGGGGGCCAGTGCCCAGTCGAAACTAGCACAAAGGCAACCCATGCCTTATGGATGCTAGCATGAAGCAAGTCATGGCAGGCGTAAAGGAGGTCATTGCCTAGGCGAAGCTGGAACAAAGATAGCTAATGCCTTGTGGGTCAAAGGCAACTTTTTTGCCTGGCGAATCAAAAGAAGCTTTTTACCTGGTAGATTGAAGGCAACCCTGAAGGAGTCTCGGCCTTGTGTGCTAAAGGTAAGCTGAAGAGGGGGCCTTTGCCTTGTGAGTTGAAGGCATGCTGATAGGTCTTTGACTTGTGGGAACTTTGTGAATCGAAGGCCAGTTTAAAGAAGTTCTTGCTTTGTGCGCTGAAGGCACGAACATAGGGATAATTTGCCTAGTCGAAGCAGGAATCAAGCTTGCTCCAAAGAGACCAAATGCCCAAACGAAGCAGGAATCCAGCTGGTATGCAGGTAGCCATTGCATTTGCGAATCAACCCAACATGTAAAGCCAATGATGCAATCGAAAGAGCATTAACAAGAGGCCCTTCCCCTTTGGATCGAAAGAGGCTGTTTCAAAGGAAACACATGCCCAATCGAAGCTTGTATACAACAAACAAGCAGAAGGCCAAGGCTTCAATCAAAGCTTGGAAATTTGAGACAAGCTTGGAGGAGGTTAGGCACTCAAATGAAGCATGTCCAAATACCAATCGAAAGGCCCTTTAACATGTGAATTGAAAGACTTTGTTAAGATACCAATCAAAGAATCCTTGTTTATCTTAAAAAAATTTATTTTTTCCCTTAATCAAGTGCTTGTGACCACCCATATAAGAAAAAATCTTGGAAAACATAAGAGGGAAAATTTTGGTGTACTACAGATGCCCCTATTCAATCTTCTTAAACTCGAGGATTTATATTGGCTTGTTTGCCTTTCGTGATCTGAAGGTGGAAGATCATTGAACACTAGAGTGTCCAAAAATTTGCACTCGCATGAAATAATACTGATGGTTGATGATGTCGGGAATAGGCTTACAAATGCCATTTAGATAAGATGACAGAGAGTTGTCGGAGATGGGCTTAAGGATGCCATCCAAAGTAGATGCTGATTCCACACATGGTCCCTTTGGGGGTTCCTGTTCCTGCTGTATGAGGAGGAGTCTGTTGGAGAATGTGAGTTTATGTTGTTCTCCTACTTGAGAAAAACTCTTTGGGGGAATATAGTCTAGGAACTTCAGTTGTCCAAGACTCTGCTGAAGAGTTATCTCTGGAGAGATGACAGTTTGTTGTATTCTGGTTGAAGTCCAGGTTTCTAGTGATTTGCTGGGGATAATGGAATTAACTGTTATTTGGAAATGTATTAGAAAGATCCTGCGTAGGGCCGCTTCAAGATGTGTCAGTGTTAGTCTGCACCCGGAGATATATGAGAAGGAACCCATGTAAGATTGCTTCGTCTGGTAATGTACATAGCTTTCCCGTCTGGTTTCAAGTATTAATCTACAATCAGCTTGTTCACATATAGTTGTCCTGTCTGGCTTCAGGTATTAATCTGGAATTTGAAAATTATCGGTCGCTGAGATAGTTGTCCTGTCTAGTTTCAGGTATTAATCTGGAATTTGAAAATTATCGGTCGCTGAGATAGTTGTCCTGTCTAGTTTCAGGTATTAATCTTTGACTTTAGAGAAAGAAAGATAGTTTTCCTGGCTTGTTACAGGTATTAGTCTTCAATCTCTTCATGTAGATAGTTCTCCTGGCTTATTACAGGTATTAATTCACAGTTGGTCGTCCACAAATAGTTTTCCTGGTTGGTTTCAGGAATTAATCTGGAACTTGAAAATTGT